TTGTGGACCTTGTAAATATTTTGCTTGACATGTAAATTTTATTTATGGGTTCCATCCTTTTGGTTCTTGTGAATAAACTATATTTTTTCTTTAGAAAAAAATTATGTTTAAGTCCTGAAGTGAACCTGTACACTTGTAAAATAGTTAGCAAATTAAATAGCATATTAGTGTCATGAGATAAAAGAAAATCAGGTCATCTGCAAACTATAGAGGGGGAATCTTCATCTACTCTTCCACGTACAAACCTCTCCACAACTCTCTCTTAGTAGTTTCTCTACGCTCTAGAGAACATGCGACTAAGGATACCCACCATCAGCCTTAAAAAAAAGGGAGAGAGAAGGTCCCCCTGCCTTGTACCTCTCTTCCTTTGAAGTGAGGTCCATGGCATCACGTACTGAACTATTTTATATTGCAACCAAAGACAGTTAGGACTTCCATTTACAAGGTGTTTGTTAAGAATATGGTAGCTGTTTGCATTATCTTTCAGATGTCTTAAGAAAATCTTTTCCACAGCATATTTAACTTCAGTATCAGTTTAATTGAATAAAATGGTAATTCATTATCCTAGTCTTTTGAAGTTTGTAAGCAAGTTTTCTTTGCTGATATTTTCTTCTATGGCTTCATGCAGTTACTCGCATTGAAGCAAGGAGCCAGAACTGTGACATGTTCATGCATTTGGATGTAAACACAGAGATATATCCAATGGCTGTTGGTGATAAATTCACAATGGCACTGGCTCACACACTGAATCCAGATGGAACACCTGACACTGGATATTATACTCCGGTAATTCTTATTGTTGTAATTTACCTATGGAACATGGTGTATTAATAACTGTCAAACTGATTCTATTTAGATTTTTTTAAAATCTGATTCTAATTACATATTCCAGCCTTTTGGATTACTTCTACTGTTTGGTTTGGTTGCATGCCTTTTACTGTGTGTGTCAACTTTTAAATCCTGTCACCTTTTCAGTGGTGGGTTCGTAATGGTTGGTAAATTTTAGTATAATAATCACACGACAAATTTCTGTCAAATGTTAAAATTCCCGCTTTATGAGAGAAATTCTTGTCTTATGAAGTATGCCCACATGGAGAGCGTGATCTGAGTATTCCCTCTAATGAGAGATTACTCCTTTCATGGAATATGTTTCTAGTTATAAATATATGGGTTATCAGAGTATCTAGTTGTCCTTCATGGATCTTTTTTGTAGAAATAGGTTTATCTGCTTTGTTCCACAAGTGAAGAGGGCATCATTAACATTGTCTGCTTTTCTGGAGCTATGTTGTGATTAGCAGTCAAACACATTTTTACATATTCTTGTATCGAACAGAGTAGTTGCTTCCTTATTTATGCTATCTTTGATCAATTCTTCAACATAGGACTCCCATTGCTATAAATAGTTAATAATAACAGTACGATGACAATGACAATTATAATAATAAGAGGTGTCTGATGAGGTTGATCCCTATCCCAGGGTGCACGCAAGTCACTTGCAGATAAATATGAGTACATTATGCATGGGAAGCTATACAAGATCTCAGATCGCGCGTCTGGAAAAACACTTAAAGCGTATGAACTAATACTATGTACCTTTTTTTCTATTTTCGTATTTGTTCCAATTGCCTTGTTTCTTTTTTGTACCTTCTCTTTCATAGGAGCAGTTTTTTTTAGTCTCCTCAGCTGACCTTTGCATTGTTCTTGATCTTTTGTTTTCCAGAGAAATATATGTATCATATGGTGGACTTCTAATGATGCTCAAGGGAGATCCTTCATATGTTGCTAATTTCGAGCTTGATCAGAGATTGTTTCTTCTTATTAGGAAGTTGTAAGACCCTTATGGGTTATATCTAACGTGTCTCTGTAGTATTTAAGAATCTATAAAGGCATTCCTCCCCTATCGGGTAATTGTTTATGTTGTATCAAACATCTTGGGTATTACTTAAATCAGCCATCTAAGTATTCCAGAATATTACTGAAGTTTCATGCAGCATTTGTTTGGATTTCTTCTGTTCCCTTTTTGGCTGTAGTGCTACTTTGGAACTTGCCATTTTAATGGAGTATATGATAATTTGTTTCTTCTGGGTCTTTTTGTCTTTCACGATATTTTCACCTTTAGCACTGTGTATAAATTGACCATATGATACCTGCTTTGAAATTTGGAATCTAGAAACTATATTGATAAAATAAATTCCTTCCTAACTATGGAGGGATATTCAAATTAAGAACGTTATAGAACAAAATGCAAGTAATAAAATCAAATTTAAATTGGGGCTAGCCAAGTAAATCTTACTCCACATCGTGTACGAACAACAGTACACCGCCCACCTCAAGCATGGCAGCTGTCGTGTCCGTGTCTCGTCCCCGAGGGTTAAGGTTATCAGGGACCTAGAAACCAGAATTATTTTCGGTTCCCATATCATGTACTTCACGACAATAGGGATCACTGTTCAATTGTTTTGTTCTCGTGAAATTCCAGCGAAATGGAGGTTCCTCTCTCTTACAGAGCTTCAATGGCGGGTGGATAGAAATCCTATGATCGAAGAAGCTGGTAACTCGACCTGGACGTTGCTGAAGACTGAAGATGATTTAATAATCCAAGTGTTGAGCAGTGCACGTCTTCTCATGAAGTGAAGGAATGATCGTGATGCTGGGCTAGAAACTGTAAAATGTGTATCGGCATGACGAGGGAGACGATGGTTTTCGAAAGGAGAATTGGAAGCCATGGATGCGGAATGTAAAGTTGGTGAAGCAATAGATCTGTTAATGGGGAGAACCTTATATTTGGTAATATTTTGGTTTATGTATGAAATAGCGATTATATAGATAGATATATATATATATATATAGTTATATAATTATATAAATATATTTACTATTTTATATAAAATTATTAATTTTGTTACAATATTTAATTTTTTAATTCTTATTTTAATTTATACATTTATAGTTTTTAAATAGAGATTATTTGTTTAATAAATAATATTATGTAAATAATTGAATATGACATCATATTAACGTCATCCACCGGTTCGGTTCACTTGTTCCTACTCGATTTACGTAACGTGTGTGAAACGCCGTTAACACAAATGTATTTCTGTTTTTATTTTTAATTAAAAAAGAACACTAAAATAGAACGGACAAAAAAAAAAAAAAAGAAAAAAGAAAAGAAAGTCTAAAGCCCATTCGCGAGAAGAAGTGATCCCAATTTCTTCTCCTCCATTCGATAATCTTCAAGCTTTTGGCCGCAGTTAAACTGATTTGGCCTCCGGACAAATGGCCGCGAAGTCGCACATAATTACAGGATTGACCTTGCCGTTAACTCCTGCTTCTTCTTCTTCAAGCTCTAGCACCAGTCTCTGCACACTGAAGAAGCCTCTCACCACTTCCTTCTTCAATGGCGGAGGTAATGTCTCAATATTTCTTTCTTTTTTCCATCTCGTTTTTCTATTTCGGTTTATAGGAAATCAGACAGAGAGAACAAAGAAACCGAAGAGAAGCTATTAAACAATTCTTACCAGTTTGATATTTCATCAACTATTCTTTCATTTATATGCACTCTCTTAAGTTTTGTAATAGAGAAGTAAAGAATATGAAAAATGTGGATGTAATACCAGTGAAATTTGTGTTAATTACATAAGAGTCCCTTCATATTTCTTTCTCTCTCTTTTTTTTTTGGGTATGATTTTGCTTGCTTTCAGTTTATATTCGTTTCATACCAGGAGTCCAATAAATCAGTACTGTCGGTTTAAAACGTTATTACTCGCGCTTTATGTATCAGTTACCAGAGTTTTTGTAAACAAGTAGATTCAGGGGCAGGACTGATCCGTATCAGTAAACGATAGTGACAATAAATCAGTGCATGGACTTTCAAAGGTCGTTTTCCAGCTACAATCATGCTGCAGT